TAAAAATACAAAAAATTAGCTGGGCATAGTGGTGCGTGCCTGTAATCCCAGCTACTCAGGAGGCTGAGGCAGGAGAATTGCCTGAACCCAGGAAGCAGCGGTTGCGGTGAGCCGAGATCGCGCCATTGCACTCCAGCCTGGGTAACAAGAGCGAAATTCTGTCTCAAAAAAAAAAAAAAGAAAACCTCATCTCTATAAAAATACAAAAATTACCTAAGCATGGTGGCAGGTGCCTGTAATCCCAACTACTCGAGAGGCTGAAGCAGGAGAATCACTTGAACCTGGGAAGCAGAGGTTGCAGTGAGCCGAGATCATGCCACTGCACTCCAGTCTGGGCAACAGAGCAAGACTCAGTCTCAAAAATAAGAATTAAAAGAATTAAAAATAAAAGCTAGGACTCAAGGAGATAGCTGTACATTCATGTTCATAGCAGCATTGTTCACAATAGCTAAAAGGCAGAAATAACCCAAATGTCCAGTGACAGATGAATGGATAAACAAAATGTGCCATATCCAAGCAGTGGAATATTATTCAGCCTTTCAAAGGAATTCAATTCTGGCATGTAATACAGCACAGATAATCCCTGAAGACATTATGCTATATGAAGTGAGCCAGACACGAATAACAAATGCTGTATGATTCTACTTCTCTGAAATATTCAGAGTCATCAAATTCACAGAGCTGGAGAACAGAAGGGTGATGGGTGTGGAGAGAGGATAGTGGGGAATCAGTGTCTAATGGGTACAGAGTTTCCATCTGGGAAGATGAACAAATTCTGTCCATGGATGGTGGGGTTGGGAGGCACAATGATGTGAATGTACTTGATGCCAATGAACTACCGAACACTTAAAAAGAGTTAAAATAGTTTGGGCGTGGTGGTTCATGCCAGTAATCCCAGCACTTTGGGAGGCCAAGGCGGGCGGATCACCTGAGTTTGGGAGTTCGAGACCAGCCTGACCAACATGGAGAAACCCCATCTCTAATAAAAACACAAAAAAATCAGCCAAGCATGGTGGCACATGTCTGTAAACCCAGCTACTTGGGAGACCGAGGCAGGAGAATAGCTTGAACCTGGGATGCAGAGGTTGCAGTGAGCCAAGATCACACCACTGCACTCCAGCCTGGGCAACAGAGTGAGACGCCCTCTCAAAAAAAATCAAAAAAAGGTATATTTTATGTTATGCATATTTTACTACAATAAGAAGAAAATTCCAGATTTTTAGACAACAAATGCTAGAGAAAATGTGGAGAAATAGGAACACTTTTACATTTCTGGTGGGAGTATAAATTAGTTCAGCCATTGTGGAAGACAGTATGGCGATTCCTCCAGGATCTAGAAATAGAAATTGCATTTGACCCAGCAATCCCTTTACCCAAAGGATTATAAATTGTTCTATTATAAGGACACATGCACACGAATGTTCACTGCAGTACTGTTTACAATAGCAAAGACCTGTAACCAACTCAAATGCCCATCCATGATAGATGGGACAAGGAAAATGTGGCACATATACACCATGGAATACTGTGCAGCCGTAAAAAACAATGAGTTCCTGTCCTTTGTAGGGACATAGGTGTTGAACAACGAGAACACATGGACACAGGGAGGGGAGCATCACACACTAGGGTCTATTGTGGAGGCTAGGGGAGGGACAGCAGGGTATGGGTGGGGAGGTTGGGGAGGGATAACATGGGGAGAAATGCCAGGTATAGGTGACGAGGGCATGGAGGCAGCAAACCACATTGCCATGTGTGTACCTATGTAACAATCCTGCATGATCTGCACATGTACCCCAGAACCTAAAGTACAATAAAAAAAAAAGAAAAATTAATGATTAAAAGCCTAAAGTAATTTTACCAAAGCTGTGAAAAAGTAGATAAACAACAAGTCATTTTCATACATCCCACAAGATCATTTAGTACCAAATGATAACAATGGGCTCAGCAGTCATTCCATTTGCAACACCCAACCTGATTTCTGCCAGACTAGAAATTCGGATGTGGGGCCTCAGTGGAAACTCCCAGCATCAAGGAGAGACCTTTCAGAGCCATGCTGCAGAGCCAGCCTCTGCCCCAGGGAAGGAACCCATGTGTGAGGAAGAAGTGTCTTATTTCTTCACCTGGGCATGTTTGCAGATGCAAGGCAGGACATGAGGATATCCATCTTTCCCATGTTTCTGAGATTTCAGGTTAAGTCTTACAGTTTAGCCCAAGTCATTTTTGACCTTGTAAAGAGACAATGCTTCTAAGATAATCAAGCCAGCAAATTAATAACTTTGGGAGATGTTTACATACAGGTAAGCAAATTTGCCAAGGTAGATCAGATTTCCCAAAGGCTGCTTTCCAAAGCATTAGTGGAAAAGAGGAAGGAAAACAGGTGAACAGTATCTCACTTGTACAAAGAGCTGTATTTTACTGAATGACTACTTCAATCTGGACTTTGGTGTAGGGTGCTTTTAAAGTTTGCAAGTGGAGTGTTAGTGAAATTTTTATGAATCTATTAGAAGTCTGATCTTGAAAGACAAAAATCTAGCTAGTTTATAGAAAAACCCAAGTATTTTTCTTTTAAATGGCAGAAGAGAGTACAAGAGAATAACATAGATAAAGATGACAATGATGGTGGTGGTGATGGTGGTGGCGATGCTGGTAATGACAGTGATGACCCCTTCTCTAATGCGTACAAGCCTTGTTGTCATTTTCACGTCAAACACAGGAATCCAGGCATACCTGTTATACTCTACCATAGATAATAAGACATGAGGCCTCCAGGATTCACAGAACTCCAAGACCTACTCCCCGATGTCAAAGAAAGACTTGGGGAGGACACCTGACGGAAGGTCTGCATAAGTGACAACGAGGTAAAAGAAGAATACTTCAAATTTAAATGGCTTAGTTTTATCTTTAAATAAGTATTAAAAATAAAAGGCCTAGGATAAGGCGATATCCAGGGCAGACTTAATGACAAGTTCTTTAGCTCCTGATGCTAGCATCTCTATGGCAACTTCTTTGTAAAGCAACCAGAAATCCTACTCCTTCGGTAACAGTTAAGACCAGGACAAACAACAGTATGATTTATGGCATATCTCAATATAAAACGTACAAATAAAATATCAAATCAGATCTTAATATTACAGCCTGATGAGAAAGAAAATACAGTCGGCCCTCCATATGCAAGGGTTCTGCATCCTGGATTCAACCAACCTGGGGTTGAAAATATTCAAGGGAAACAAAATAGGTGATTGTGTCTGTACCGAACATGCACAGATTTTTTTTCTTGTCACTTTCCCTAAACATTTATTTATAATACCTAATACAAAGTATATTTACATCATATAATGTACAATTTATAATATATAACGTATATTTACCTTGTATTAGGTATTATAAGTAAACCAGGGATGATTTAAAGTACATGGGAGTGCACCCGTTAAAAAAACAACAAAATCATGTCCTTTGCAGCCACATGTATGCAGCTGGAGACCATTATCCTAAGCAAATTAACGCCGGAACCAAAAACCAAATACCAGATGTTCTCACTTACAAGTGGGAGGTAATCATTGGGTACAGACGGACATAAAGATGAGAACAACAGACACAGAGGACTACTAGGGTAGGGAGAAAGGGAATAGGGCAAGGGCTGAAAAACTACTACTACACTCACAGCCTGGGGGACGGGGTCATTCACACCCCAAACCTCAGCAACACACCATACACCCATGGAACAAACTTGCACATATACCTCTGAATCTAAAATAAAAGTTGAAATTATTTTAAATAAATAAATAAAATGCCATATATGGAAGGATGTGAATAGTTATATGCAAATACCATGTCACTTTATATGAGGGACTTAAGCATCCTCTGATTTCTTGTATCCTCAAGAGGTCCTGTATCCGATCCCCCAAGAATACCGAGGGACAACTGTTTAATGTAAAAACTTACTTTGAGGCTGAGCGTGATCACTCATACCTGTAATCCCAACACTTTGGGAGGCCAAGGTGGGCAGATCACTTGAGGTCAGGAGTTCGAGACCACCCTGGCCAACAAGGTGAAAACCCATCTCTACTAAAAATACAAATATTAGCCAGGTGTGGTGGTGCATGCCTCTAGTCCCAGCTACTTGGAAGGCTGAGGCACGAGAATTTCTTGAACCCGAGAGGCAGAGGCTGCAGTCAACCGAGATCACATCACTGCACTCCAGCCTGGGTGACAGAGTGAGACTCTGTCTCAAGAAAAAAAAGAAAAAAAAAACTTACTTTGAATGAAAACCAACATAAAATAGAAACACTATAAGTCCTCTCCAAAATTGTGAAAAACAATCAAAAATTCAAAGTGTTAGCCCAAACATGCAACTATTTTCTTACAAACCATTGAAAACAACCACAACTAGATTCAGAATATAAAGAAAGCCTGTATTTGATGTGGATTCCATTTATGTTTTTCCTCAGTTAAGAAAATTATATTGAATATGACCAAATGGTTCCTTTTAAAAACATCAGAAGTCACTTTCTCGAATACATTCTTTTCTCCTAGATTTAATTTCATAGATCCAATTTCACTGAAGTTGACTTCTGAGTACAACCGTGAGTAAGTGAAGGGTTTAATGAACAGCAACAAAAATTTCCACAAATACAACTGTGAGATTGAGGTAAAGAAACACTGAAAACCAATTTGATATTTTGACTTAGACTTCATTATAAGCGTAGTGTTCTCCAACAGCCTGTTATCTAAGGCAGTACTTTCTACTGCACACCGGAAACATCTTGCATGAAGAAAAAGAACACTGGCCTGATGCAAATAGCAAACTTCTCTAGTAAGGTGTAAATGATTCTATTTACAGAAGTTTTCTCCTTTTTTCTTTTTTTAGAGACAGGGTCTTGCTCTGTCACCCAGGCTGGAGTGCAGTGGCTATTTGTGCAATATTTAATTCATATAACACTTTCCCAGAATGCACCTGATGCTTCAGGTGAGGTACATGTTTAATGCTAAATGTCACTTACCTTCCGATAAATCATATGGCACATGGCTACTCGCAACCTCATCCCAGCACACTGAACATGATAAAAATATAAGTGGTGCAGTATAGCCAAAATAAGGGTGCAAAAAGTCAGCACCGCAGCATAGGCGTATGCTTTGTGCAAAGCCACAGAGTCCATGGGATCATAATGTTCGAAATAATTAATAATTTTTCCCAAAAATATGGGCTGGATTACTTTGGTACTTTCCTAAAAGAAGAAAAAGAAAAGCCTTTAATTAGACATATAGACCACACCATTTTTTCTTTTTTCTTTTTCTTTCTTCAGATGGGGTTTCGCTCTGTCACCCATGCTGGAGTACAGTGGCACAATCCCAGCTCACAGCAGCCTCGAACTCCCTGACTCAAGCAGTCCTCACACCTCAGCCTTCCACGTAGCTGAGACTACAAGTGTACACTACCATGTCCAGCTAATTTTTTTTTTAAGAGACAGGATCCCACTATGTTGCCCAGGCCGGTCTTGAACTCCTAGGCTCAAGTGATCCTCCTACCTCAGCCTCCCAAAGTGCGAGGATTACAGATGTGAGTCACCACACCCAAGCTCATTTTTTCTTAACACAAGCTTTACTTTTATATTTTCAAAATTCAACATTCATCATTAATCTAAAAGAAAAGCAGAACTGTTTCTTCTTTAAGACAAGCTGATAGAAGTTTTCGCCTGAAGCCAATTCTAATTTCAAAGGCAATAATGTTTTAGTATGTTGTTCTTGGTACACTGGTGGGTGCTCAGTATTACAAACAGTGCTTTAAAGCATACTTGGCAAACTACCAAATTAAGTCTTAGCCTAAGGTGACTAAGGAAAAAAGTGGCCCAAGAGGAAAAAGGAATTTGCTTCCATAGGGACACCTCAGCTCTCACCCACTTCCCCTGTACTCTTGACATCACGGCACGTGGGAAAGTTGAGAAGGCTCGTGTACAGGAGGCCACCACTCTTGCCACCTTCTTCACCATTAAGAGACTTTATGAACTGAGATATTGGCACAAACCCAGATCAGAAAATCAAACTCTCCAATCCAATCTGAACTCTACATGTCAGTAGATATAAGACAACCAAGTCCACCTTCAGTTGGAGTAGAGAAAAGAACCAGGCTTGGGAGGATTCCAGGCTCTTGGTCCCACAGGACATTGCTTAATGTTTCTGCCCCCTAGAAGCTCAGATGTGCCCAGAAGAACTGCCACCTTGGCTCAGGTAGTGCAGAGTCAAAAATTAAACACAGCAGAAATTAAGCTCAAAAGTAGTATCATCAGTGGGTCTCTATATCAGCCATACTTTGAAGATCCTGGTTTTGAACAATGTTAATAATCAGCTATTCCCTGAGGCAAAATTAAAATCCCACACAAATGAGCTGGGAGGCATGGGGGCTTACCTTCTGAACAAGACACAGGGAATGAAATTTTAATCCCCAAGATTAAAGGCAAAGAAACAGCAGAATGCAGCTTGAGCCACGGTTTGAGGTAAGCAAAGAGCTTTCCTTTCCTCTTCCTGCCACATGACCACTTCACCCCATAACCTACTCCTCCCTCTAGAACGCCTTCTAAGGGACCCTTCTCCTTCATCAAAGAAAACCAAACACTCATTGCAAATCCAAGTCACCAAAAGTAAACTGTAAAAAACATGGAAAAAAGTAAACAAAGGCCCTTGACATCATTTCCTCTTGACTTCTCCAAAGACAAAATGCAAAAAGTTTGAAAATCTTTCAAGACTTTGACTTGAAACAAAATTTTTCTTTTTAAACAATCTCTCCTTCTTAACAAAGACACAATAAACACCTGACAGGTTTGCTATTGATAGCTGTTTTCTATCTGAAGTGAGGTAAGAAGAACCAATAAAAAACAAAAACAGGCAGAGCATGGTGGCTCACACCTGTGATCCCAGCAGTTTGGGAGGCCGAGATAGACACATCACCTGAGGTCAGAAGTTCGAGACCAGCCTCACCAAAATGGAGAAACCCCATCTCTACTAAAAATACAAATTTAGCGGGCATAGTGGCACATGCCTGCAATCCGAGCTACTCAGGAAGCTAAAGCAGGAGAAGTGCTTGAACCCGGGAGACGGGGGTTGCAGTGAGCCAAGATCCCACCATTGCACTCCAGCCTGGGCAACAAGAGTGAAACTCCATCTCAAAAAAAAAAAAAAAAAAAAAAAACTAACACACACTTTCAGCCCAAACAACTAGCACTGGATCCGGATATTTACAGAAGACATTCACACACACACACACACACACACACACACGCAGACTTCACCAACCGCATTGCCTTCCATGATGTCATGGAAGTTTTCCCCTATGATACAGAAATCAGAAAATACCATTTAGTTGAAGAATTCAGAATAAGATGATCAGGTATCAAGAATACCAAGGTTCACGGTGTGCCCAATCAGAGGCATTAGGAGTTTGTAGAAGAGCCCCCAGTACAATGGGTCATAACATGGACTGTTTAGAGGTTACTGACATGAAAATCTGGAAGTTTACCCCACGAACCAAGAAGGCCAAACTGTTCACATGAGCAGCCCCGGCTCAGGAGTGCCAAGGCAACCAGGGCCGCAGCAGACACACCTGGGCTATCAGCCAGAAGCTCAGGGCTAACGCGTGCCTTTCGAAATGTTCCTGAAACTTCTCACGGTCCCTGGGAGTCACTGTTGCTGGTTACACACTTTTCCATTTCAGCCTGAGGTAAGTGTGATTCAAATGGCAAGAGGGATGCCCACTCACCAGAGGAAATAACAGATGCAATAAACCCAGCAAAAGAGAATGCAAAAAGGAAGGCAAGTCACAACCACCTAATTGTCCAGGTTTCCTTGCTGAGAGACAGCATTTAATAATCCAAGCAAGCAAACAGGCTCACCGGTGAGTAATGCAGGTTTTTGGTCCCTGCCTTCCCTTAGACCTCTCCATCCCATATCTTAGCCCTCAACTAATAAGAAACAAATCAACACAAAGAATACTCATTATCAAAATTATAACTAACCAAGTTTAAACTTTCTGGATATCAGTAACAAGGTCAAAAGTAACTCACATAGCTTCTCCATCTGGGAGACCAACCAATCCATGACCTGGTGAAGAGTCTTTCCACAAACAAGCTAACTATACAGTCCTTACTCCTTCACAGGAATTCTCACCTGTGAAACCACAGAGATTTTTAAGAGTCCAATAGGATACTTCAATGCTCCACACTTCAGGTTCTACCTGAGTCCCAGAGTACTTGAAGGCATATTCTTCTCAATGGAGCATTTGGTACTCAGCCTCCTGACACCTGAGCCCCATCCCATGCTTTCTTGGAGTAACACATTACATGCCTCCACGCTCCTGCTCCCCCATGCACTTCAGATACTCCTTGCCCAACTGCACCATACCTGATCCATGAGAAGGAAAGAAAACACAGGAAATAGAAATGAGCTACCAAAGAAGAACACGTTTGAGTGAAAAATAAAGCAGGCCAGGCACAGAGGCTCACGCCTGTCATTCCAGCACTTTGGGAGGCCAAGGCAGGTGGATCACGAGGTCAGGAGATCGAGACCATCCTGGCTAACACAGGAAAACCCTGTCTCTACTAAAAATACAAAAAAAAATTAGCTGGGTGTGGTGGCATATGCCTGTAGTCCCAGCTACTCAGGAGGCTGAGGCAGGAGAATCGCTTGAACCAGGGAGGCAGAGGTTGCAGTAAGTTGAGATTGCGCCACTGCACTCCAGCCTAGAGACAAAGCAAGACTCCATCTCAAAAAAGAAAAATACAAGCAGAAAAGAGTGAGCTGTGGAAAAATGAGTAACAGTTTGGTTTAGAAATGGGAAAACGCAGCGGGTCACAGTGGCTCCCGCCTGTAATCCCAGCACTTTGGGAGGCCAAGGCAAGTGGATCAATCACTTGAGGTCAGGAGTTCAAGATCAGCCTGGCCAATATGGTGAAACCCCATCTCTACTAAAAATACAAAAATTAGCTGGACATGGTGGCTCACACCTGTAATCCCAGCTACCGGGGAGGCTAAGGCGCAAGAATTGCTTGAAGCCAGAAGGTGGAGGTTGCAGTGAGCTGAGATTGTGCCACTGTACTCCAGCCTGGTGCACAGAGCAAGACTCTGTCTCAAAGAAAAGAAATGGGAGAGCAGAGGACAAAAGTAGGGTTGAGAAAGAATCCAGAGATAAGGAAGAAAAAGAGTGAATGGGGAAATAATAACCATTAAGACTCTGGATATACCTGAAGTCCTCCCTGAATCAGTACAGTCCTGACGGCAAATTAAAATCACCTGGGAGACTTCCACGCTCACTGATGCTCAGGACCCATCCCCCAGATTTAGGTTCATGATCAGGGTGGGGCCTGAGTTCCCCATCCCTGGAAGATTCTGGGGTGTAGAAACCAATGCCTATACACATCCCTATCCTCCTCTCCTGCACTATCTCTGTGTCTGAGTCTGGAGGGGCTGGAGACCCGCTGTGAAGAACTTTTAAGACCACAAAGGGCTTTTCATCAGAGCTGCTGCCGTATGTCAGGCTTCTAAGAAAAGCCCTTTGGAAAAACGGATGCTGAGATTTCAGTGATAGAACTAAAACCTTCCATTCTGCACAGCAGGGAAAATTCAATGTTCAGTAAAGACTGTACCTACCAAACAAAAGGATGAATCATAATTTGTTTTTTAACTTTAAACAAAATAGTTTATTTAACTAGTTTGTTTGACTTTAAACAAAATAGTTTGAAAAGACAGTCCCTGCACATTATTGTCTACCCTACAGACAATGTAAACAGCAATGAAAAACACTTTAAATTATTTTCAGAAATCAGATTATGGATAATAGTGTTGATACTGTAAGATAAAATAAACAAATAAGTATGTTGATACCAAGAGCTGGATTAGGCTAGGGAGAAAAAGAACAGATGAAGGGAGAAAAGAGATACAGATGTAAGAGTAAAGAGAGAAGTAAAAACACTAACGTCTTGAATCTGATTTGGAAATACCCACATAAATTCATGATATTTTTATCTTTAAATATAAACATACACATATAAAAGGAGTTAAAGCTGCTAGGAAAAAGAGTTGATTCCACAGCTGTGGCAAAAACTGTTCCAGGAGCCTGAAATATCTTGTCACACCAGAAAATGAGGAAGCTAGCATGATATATACATGCAAAAGACTCAGGACCTGACTTCAATAGACCCCCACTAGCCAAAGATAGCCAAAGCATGGCACAGGGATA